ACCTCTCCTACCAGTGAACTCTGGCTGAACTGTATTAGCAGTCCAGCTAGGTGGTAGGGGACCTATTCCAAACCTCCCTCAACTTTGAAGAAAGGAGAAATCTTGACCCACAATTTCTAGGTCTTGCTGGATCCATTGAAAATGGATATGCCAATATAAAAGCATAAATTCATAGAGGAGAAAAACACGTCTAGTTTTAGTTACTTTGACCTTGAGAAATATTTACTCTCATCTCTGTCATAAATACAATATGTGTAGAAACTATCAAAAATCAATTTCTCCTATAAACAGTTCTAGGGTAGAACTACAGAAAGTTCCTTGAAATAATGAGCACTGGTACATGTCCATTTTAGTTCTAACTGAGTTCAAGTCAGTTGTTGACCCCAAGTCTTCTGTTTATTCCTTAAACGTCTGTTGAACACTTGGCATGACATCAAGTCTTTGGGGGCAAGCTATAAGTCCAAGATAGCCCTTTCATTTAGCAAGCTTACAGTTCGGTGAGAATGCCAGTCAAGGACACCTTCCAGCACTGTATGTGGCAATGTAGGGCTGTACAAGCGTTCCTGAGAGCACAGAGGACCGGGCACCGACATTACCCAGGGAGTCAGCAGAGAAGACACCACAGAGCAAACAGCTTTCAGTCTAATCTAGATGGAATCAATAAGGCCAGTGAAGTTGGAAGAGATACGAAAGGAAAGTTGTAAGCTGTGAGCCTGGCCATCTAAGGATGTTTGCTAGTGCTAAGTGGAAGGACACATGAAGGACAGGAAAGGAGACCCAGGATGTGGTGCTGATGAGAGTGGACCTCATCTACCACATGGAGACATTTAGAGATGTAATAGCCAACACTGCACAGGTATTAACTGCCAGAGACCATTTTGAATATTTGACATCTATTTTATTATTTAATCCTCAGAAGAACTATGAAATAAGGAATACTATCATTCTAATTTTATATATAAAGATATTGAGGCTCAAAGAGCTTCTCCTGGCATGAAACCAGAAGAATAAAAGGGGATGCATTCTTTTTCTTTTAATATGGGGTCTCCTAATGGCCCAAGCTAGCTTTGGACTCATGATTCTTATTGCTGAAGCCCCCTAAATAGACATAGATTACAGATATGACAATCACACTTCAATCAAGGAGCCCATTTTTATATAGTTAAGTTCAGTAGGCAATACACATCTGAGCTAAGAACCTCATTGCTAAGAGAAATAGAGTCCTAGGGAATGTGGAGATATTGATCCAAAACTGCTGAATGGTAGCTGGGTAGTGCTCATGAAGGTCCTCGACATTTTATATCATGTTCTTTCTTCACCATATTTTTCAAATGAAAATTATCCAGGAAGTCTATCCTGGTTAGTTTTTATTGTAATTGGACACAGCCTAGATACCTGGGGAAAAGGGAACCTCATTTGAAGAAGTGCCTCCATCAGACTGTCCTGTGGAGGACCAACTGTCAGAGTGTCCTCCATCAGATTGTCCTGTGGACATGTGTGTGAGGCACTTTTTTGATTACTAATTGATATAAAAGGGGGCCAGTCTGCTACGGGAAGCATCATCCCTAAGCAGGTGGGCCTGCACTGTATAGAAAAGCTAGCTAAGCAGGAGTCAGTGAGCAAGCCAGGCAGCAGCACTCTTCCAGGATTTCTGCTTGATTTCCTGCCCTGAACTCCCTAAATCAGTGGTTCTCAACTTGTGGGTTCTGACCCCATTGGGAGTCACATCCTAGATATCCCGCATCTCAGATAGTTACGTTACAGTTCATCACAGTAGCAAAATTGCTATGAGGTAGCAACAGAATAATTTTATGGCTGGGGTCACCACAACATGAGCAACTATCGCATGTAACATTAGGAAGGTTGAGAACCACCGCCCTAAATGATGGGCTGTAAGCTGAAATAAATTCCTTTTCTCTCCTAAATCACCTTTGGTCAGGGTGCTAATCACAGCAGCAGAAAAGGAAGTAGGACAAGGCCTTCCGGGAAGCACACAGCGGCCCCTGTCTCCCACAGCTGGCCTCCATTATGAGTCATTAGCAGGAACATTACATCACATGTGCTGGAGCTCAACAAAGCACACCGGAAGTGTGTTCTCGTTCATCTTCGCTACAGCCACTCTTAGCTCTTCCTAAGCCCAATTCACAAACGAAGAGCCTGTTGCTCGGAGTGGGCGTGTACCTGTATGAATCTTCCGCACACAGCCACCGCCTGGGACCCTCTTCCGTTCTATTTTCATCTCACGCCTCTCTTTATCCAAACTGAGGAACAGTGCTGTCCCTCAAACTCACCCAAGTTTTCACAGCAGACCCTGAGAGTGGAAAGTAGAGCTTCTTGGCAATTCCGTTGCCTCTCCTGCCTCCTCTGATGGACGCTACGCTCCGACGTCTACTGATGCTCTAATTGGTACACCAAACCCAGAGGTTTTCCAAAGCCATATCAGTAATGTGACTTTCATTATGCCCGGGGTTACTGTGGGATCTCACTGCTGCAGCTGAGACATTGTTGGACACCACAATGAAAAGCAGGAAGAGAACAGAAAGGCTCCTCCCAGGTCGGTCTTCCAGCTCAGGCCTCTGCCGGCTTAGTGGGCCTTGGACGGCTGACCTTCTCAGAACTCTTTGCTCCTAAACTACCTCATCCCCTGTTTCTCTTATCCTTACGCTGTTCCATTTAAGTCTTCTTTGCTGAATCTTCCTTATCTCTTGGTTTCTAGAAGTTATTTACCTAGAGATCCACCTTAGATAATTCACCCCTCTACCCAGTCCTTGCAGGAGCTCATCCAGTCTGGAGACTAAACGTCTGTCGTAGGTCAGCTCCAAGTCAGGGTCTCCCAAGTGGAACTCACCCTTGAAATCAGACTCAGATATCTGTCTACCTGCTGTTCAATCTAGCTGCATGGATAAAGGCACCGAGAAAAATCAGCCCCCATAATGGGGCCTCTGCTTCTTCCACAACTTCCTTAACTCTATTCTTTTTGTCTTCCTGTTTTGTTTTGTTTTGTTCTGTTCTGTTTGGGGTTGGGTTGAGTTGGGTTGGGTTAGGAGTTCTGGTGTTTATGCCTAGGACTTCACACATATTAATTGAGTGCTATATCACTGGAAAACACACCCAATCTGTCTTTGGTTGAACATTGTGACTTTCCTTCTGATGTACAAATTGCCAGTGATTTGAGATTTAAACATTGAAAACGACTTCTTAGAACTTCATAGTGAATTCCAAATGAGCTGAGAGGTTTTTGTGATGTCAAAATTCCTTTAATAACCTTTAATAATTATTAACCCAAACTCAAGGGAGGTTTTGCTAAAAACAAAACTGACTTCATCATGTCGTCATGAACTCTTACCTTTTTAATGGAAATTATGAAGTTTCGAAAAGGAAAACCTGTCACTTGGCCAACAGACTGTAGACTTTGCCCTCAAAGCTATTAAGGCCCATAGAAATAACCTTATCAGATCCTCCATGTCCTTCCTGGTCCTCCAGGATACGTAAGGCTCAACATGATTAAGCAGGAACTTATTTAGTAACTTTGGTAACATTTACAAAACAAACTAGCATTAGACAAAATGTAACTCTTACAAATGTTTATATATCTTCAAAAATAGCTTTTGCAGTTTTATTTATGCTTAAGATTACTTCACATCAATTTGTACAACTGGATCCACCAACAGATCCACCTATATTTGACTACCTACAGAAACAGAGTGCACTCTAACAGTATGACCTAAGCTGAGTTGCCACAGACTCTCAAATCGTAACTATTGTGTAAAAGACTCTAATTTCCTAACCAAGATAGAAAAACAAGATTAAAAACAAGAGCAGAGCCTTTGGATAGATGAGATATTTCGGCAGATAAAGGAACTTGCTGCCAAGTCTAATTTCCTGAGTTCAATCCCCACGGCCCACATGGTGCAAGGAGAGAACTGCTTCCGCAGGTTATCCTCGGAGCCCCGCGTATGCTTCATGCATGTAGGTACAAACACATTAATTAATTGATTGATTGATTAAAATACTTAAAAAATAAAATACCATTTTTGTAAACTGTAAACACTAGAACCTTTGTGATAAATTTTTATATATGTAAAAAAGTGTGTGTGTGTGTGTGTGTGTGTGTGTGACAGATAAAAAGAGAGAGAGTACATGTGATTTTTAAAATCCTTCAACAGTCTTGTTTGTATAATAAATAAACAAATGTCTCTGGAAACACATAGAATAGATTAATGAACCTCAGCCTCTGAATTTTGACTTCCTACCTTAGTATACTTGATTTAGTGGTAGTCTCTTCCTCCGAGATCTGTGCAGGTCATTCTTAGTCTCTCTCTCCCTCCCTCCATGCTTGCCTCCCGCCCTCCCTCTCTCCCTCCTTTCTCCTTCCTCCGTGTGTGTGTGTGTGTGTGTGTGTGTGTGTGTGTGTGACAGAGAGAGAGAGAGAGGCACACGGATCTATAATACACAAGTGCACACCTGAGGTCAGACCACTCCACCACTCTCCTCAACCTCATTTTCTTGAAGCAGGGTCTTTTGCTGAATCTAAAGCTACGTTGGTGGCAAGCAAGTTCCAGAGAGGGCTGCAAACTGTGTACATGGTTCAGGGAACTTGACCCCAGGTTTTCGTGCTTGAGCACCAAGCACTCTTCCCTGCTAAGCCATCTCCTTTCTCGTCCTTTTAATTGATAGGAACTGATTTCTTTGCATATGTATCAACATCTTAAGGTAATTGAACTGAGAAGGAGTGGACAGTGTTCTAATTAGAGAACGGGTGCTCTTCAGTTTTCATCTCTAAAGGTTGAATATTTTAAAGGTTGAAAATTTAAAGAAATAGTTAATCTTTAAATGTAAGATTTAAAGAAAACATTTGGCAGGCCTTATTTGAATGCAGTTACTAGCAACTATAACCTTAATGATTCATTTACAGGCCTATCCTAAGATGCCCTTCACATGAACTCAAATATGGACTTGGCTATAGCAATTTACTTAATTTATCTTAAATTTGGTTTCAGTGAGCAACCCTAATTAACCTGATTTTTTGGTGATAATCACTCTCAATGGAATCAAATCACAAATCCGGGGATGGATTGAGCGGCACCCAGAAGGAAGCAGCCCTCCGCGCACTGGTCCAGCGCACAGGATATAGCTTGGTCCAGGTAGGAACTTCTTATGATGTCTGCTGAGACTCAACACTGAATCCAGAGTCCTGGAAACACTAGTGCCCCTTGATGCAGAATGCTGGCAGCCCTTGTATAACTGTCACAGAGAGAAGATTATCTTGTAAATGAAGTTCTTTCTCCCCTGGATTATCCACTCAACCTTAATTGGTTGCTTGAAGATAGAACCATCATCTACAGTCATAGAGACTATTACAGGTTTGAGAGAACCTTTTGCAACATAAAAAGGCAGTGAGAATCCCCACTTCTTAGTGAAGATGAACTTAGTTGGTGTTATAGGAATCTGTGAAGAACCAAGGTCTTTGTGGCTTCCAAGAAGGCAACATTTTGTCAGCCTAGCTATTCCAGCTTGTCCAGTCTAAGGTAAATTACAATAACTTCTGTTCATGTTGGCCCTTTTGAAAAAAAATCAAAAGAGGAGCCACATAAAAGGCCTAATTGTTAGGAATTATTTGCGTATGATTATTGTAATTGTGACAACTTCTCTTAGGGAATATATGCTGCATGTATTAAGAAGAAAGTTAGTGTTAGATACATAAAAATTATCCCACTAGACTGTACAATGCCCCTTTTGTAGTAAACAAAGTATTTGGATCCACCAACTATTGATTTTTTCACCTGCATGCTTTTCCATTGAACTCAAATCTACCCAACATTGTGAATACAAGTGTCACATGTGAGTAGTGACAAAATATGCCACATCCTGCATTTATTAGCTGTTCTACTGTAAGATTATTGGAAATGTCCTAGGTTTACTTGTACTAATTCTATAAATCATAAATCACAAATGCATTGTTATGCGTGATACAATGCCTCAAGTATCTATATTTTTTATCCCAGTAAAGAGTGCTACTCAGGATTTTTAAATATTTTATAAGTTTTTATTATTCCATAGTTGACTTTTTAAAGTTTCATTAAGTCAAGGGAGACACTGAGATATTTGCTACAGTACTTTCTAAAAGCTGAGCTATTTTAGAATCAATGAACTGTAAACGTTTTTATCTCTAAAATCAATGGATAATTTAAATATATGTACCTTTCCATTATACTTAAAACAACCACAGATATTTCTAAATAATTTAGTCTATAAAACAAAAAAAATTAATGTAATTTATTTTTCACATGCCTTCAGGCACGATTAACTATAAAAATGGTCTTTATTTAAAAAGGTGTTTTTTCTTCTTTCTTTTTATCAATAAATTCTTTCTTAAAATTATAAAATAGAAAGTCATTTTTATATTAGCTTCATTATTGCTATTACTTTTAGCTCTTCTTGGGCCTGAAACTTTTACTTAGGGGGTGCAGCAGTGAAGAAGCATTTCAACCCTTTTCAAACCTATTAGTCAATATTCATGCACAGGAGCGTTCCCCACCTCTCTGTGGTACCTAACGTGAGTGAAGGATGCAAAGCCCTATCTGAAACACCATAGATTCCCTTCCCACCACACACCTAAGCAGGTGAAGGTGAGGAAATGATTACATAAACTATTACGGCAGAAGCACTTTCTTCAACAAGCAAAATTCAAGGGGAATCTCCTACGGCTACAGCCTAAACTGCCCATTTAACTTTATTCTCTATGAAGGCGCGCACACACACACACACACACACACACACACACACACACACACACCAAGATAGAATATAGGCTAGGGTAAGGATCATGCTATCTTAGTAATATTTGGGTAATGAAAGGTTCCTCGTGAAAATGTTGAGATTTCAGAGTCAAGTGTAATTATGTAGAATCAACATTCTGGCCCCTTCCTTTACACATCAGAATGGAAAGGAATTTCTTTCCTATTTTCTGGTTTAGTCTTTGCTCTGTTAACTGCAATTTCTCACTTGGTCTTAAAGCAGCCGAATGGATGAAGCAAAAGAGGATATGTTTGACCAATTCTGGCACAGGGCTCTTTCTTAGCAAAGTTTCTTTAAAGTACACTCAAAATAGCCAAGAAATGAATCAAAATATTGACTCCTAGGTTGGGCGTAATAGGAGGGAGTCCATATTAAACACTGAATCAAAATAGGGAACAATTGTAGGTGTAGGAACTGAAGCTGCAGGAAGCCTCTGTAGGATCACAGACACAGCCCAATCTCACTGCCCAGGGACCATCGCCTGGCCACACTTTTCTCGACCCACGCTTCCTTCCATTGAGCTCATTTATGTGAGCTCATTATGAGCAACCTTTTGAGAAGACAGAAGATAAGTAGTGATAGTCATGTTAGAGATAAATATATCTAGGCATTCAAAAACGACCTTGTTGGAAGTTGAACTTCACAGCTCTACTTGCGTAATATATGTTAGCAGAATGATGATTGGGTCTGAAGTTCTCCAATAACTTGGAAAACTAGCATTTCCCAAAACTAGTTGCCTAGACCTAAGTCTTCCAGTCAAAGCAATAAAAATGTGTGCGTGTGACATAATAAATAGTTTTAATTGGAAATCTCTCCTGATTTGGGCTGCAAAATGTGAAAAATGACACAATCAGAAGGCCTACACTTGTAGCTTCTCCTTATCACATGTTAAGTGCAAGATCATAAACAAGTTTCCTAATTGCTGGAGACCTTAATTTCCTCTCAGGTCAGAAAAGTCCAACCCTACACTATTAGCCTTGATTTTGTAATCGGTATCAGCTCAGTGTACTCATGGCTGGCTAACTGGGCTATTTAGGTGAAAGAGTAGGCCTGTGTATCTTGACAAACCTAAGGCTCTATGACTCAGGAAAATCTCCTTTGTCTTCCGAATACTTCAGCATTCCCATACTGAAATAAAGAAATGGCTGATACCAAAAAAGACAGAAGAGAGCATCCGTTTTTGCTGTTGTTTATTTGTTTGTTTGTTTTCAATCTCTGGACAAATGAAGATGTTAGTTAACGTCTGACTTGAAGGCCTTGCCTTCTGTGTCTTTCCAGTGTGGTATGAAATTCAAAACACAGAAGTGACGGGTCTGTGTTCTCTTATCGCCAGCAGGACAAACACAGTTATCAAAAATAGAATTTTACAAGTTACTTAATAACATAAGCTAGCTCTTAATGTGGCAACTGACGCAACTTATGAGGATTAAAAGCGTAAGACATAACATCTCTTTTTTTATAACTGAATATCCTTGGATATTAGTGCCTGAACATTTTATCAAAGTTCTTTGGGGACAAGAAACTCAATGCCTCATCCTTAAAACAGAATTTTTTTTCTTTGTGGTTGTTCGAGGCAGAGTTTCTCTGTGTAGCGAAAAATATTTAAATAATTGCTACCTTTAAAAATTAAAGAAAGCTAACAAGTTAAACTTTAAGCTCCACGGCAGCATTACATGATGTAGAAATACTTGGAAACTGTGTTCCAGTATTACAATGTAAACTTCTGCCTCTGGGTGCTGAGGTTATTTGAGGGTGTTTTTTTCCTTCTATTTTTCCACTGCTAATTATATTTCCTAGAATTCTAAAGTCAGCAAATATTGCTTTGAGAGTCAAAGGAAAAAAATATATGATATATAAAAGTGTCTACCGCTCAACATTTAGTTTTAAAATTTGAATGTTTCAAATAACACGTTAAGAAATTATAAATACCTAAATTGAAAACTGGAAAATAAAATAGTCACTCTGATAAAGCACACCTTTTCATGTCTGATATTTTCTTTATTTTCCAGTCTTTCCACAGTGACTGAGAATTTTTTGAGAGGGAAAAATATCCTAAAGTAGAAAAAAACTACAATAATTATTCAATTAGGAAAACTGGACAGTTTTTATAGAGAGAATCTCACTATCTCATCTGGATGGTGGATATCTGGAGTCACTGGGAAAATCTTTGTTTAATGCTTGTTTTATATTGAAACCCTCTCTTCATAGTTAGACTGCCCTAGATTACACACCATATACTGGCAAACAATGATTCATCAGTTAGGTGTGACTATAGCCTGTACCTAAACTCAATGTTGCATACAAATGGGCTTTACATTTCAAGCAGTTAATATTTTGTTTAAAAACCTAAACTGTCAACTATCTGGCCTTTGGCAGAAACATGCTTGTTGGTCTTAAATAGCAACCTTAATCATGAACCCTATTCTAGAAGTTAATTCACAACTCTTAAGGAAAGTTTCCAACATAAAAAAAAAACAATGTTTTCAAAGATAGTAGTGAATAAAAAGATGAATAATAATGAGGAGGAGGTGGAGTACATGGAGATGGAGATGAAGGAGGAGGAGGAGGAGGAGGAGGAGGAGGAGGAGGAGGAGGAGGAGGAGAAGAAGAAGAAGAAGAAGAAGAAGAAGAAGAAGAAGAAGAAGAAGAAGAAGAAGAAGAAGAAGAAGAAGAAGAAGAAGACTACTCCTTAAGTAAGGAGAAGACTTTTGTTGAAGAGATAAAGGGGAAATCAGGCAGATGGAAGAAGATGGAAGAGTCCAGGTGGAACACAACTGGCAGACTAAATCTCTAAATTGGACCATAAAAGGAGAGAAGAGAAAAGAAAGCAAGAGATGAATCATTGACCAACAAGGAGAGGTTGCCTGGGTCAAGAGGCCAAGAGAGTAAATATAACCCCAGCAGCACAGACACTGAGAGAAACAATTAATAAATGGGACCTCCTGAAACTGAAAAGCTTCTGTAAAGCAAAGGACATGGTCAACAAGACAAAATGACAGCCTACAGAATGGGAAAAGATCTTCAGTAACCCCACATCAGACAGAGGTCTGATCTCCAAAATATACAAAGAACTCAAGATATTGGTCACCAAAAGAACACATAATCCAATAAAAAAAATTGGAGTACAAACCTAAACAGAGAACTCTCAACAGAGGAATCTAAAATGGTTGAAAGACACATATGGAAATGTTCAACATCCTTAGTCATCAGAGAAATACAAATCAAAACATCTCTGAGATTCCAATCTTACATCTGTAAGAATGGCCAAGATCAAAAACACTGATGACAACTTATGCTGGAGAGGTTGTGGGGTAAAGAGAACACTTCTGCATTGCTGGTGGGAATG